ATATAATATATATAGTATATATATATATATATATATATATATATAAAATGCGTGTGCGTGGGTGGGTGTAATATATATATATATATAATCATGCGTATGCGAGAAGACATTTGCAAATTTGTAACGTGATTTGCGGAGAAAGGAGTGATAGCAGAGGACAGTACATAAATGGGAGCTGATAGTAAAGCTGGAAGCTACATGGTCACAAAAAAAATGTGGACAAGCATACTGTACTACTGTACAAAATATGTACAGGTTACATGTGAGGAACGGACATATGGAAAGAGTGTTTGTTTGTAGAGGTTCGAGGTGAACGGACGATACAATATTGCATGAGTAGCATAAACTGCTTAAAAATACCCTAAAGTCTATACGAGGAGCCTCAATCGTACACAAGCAACCTAAACTGAATACATGCGTGCTCTCTCTCGTGGACAGCGTGTGCGCACGCGTTTAAAGAGTGATTAGTCGAAGTCTACGCATTCGAATACAAGCAAGCCTGCGTGCATACAATATGTGAACTTGCGCATAGATGCAGCAGTTTGTATTGAGGCTAGGCACATACCCGTTTGATAACCATGATGCCGCTGTGCGATATACACCCTATGCAATAGTGAGGTAGTGATGAGTGGCCAGGTGGTGTATCTACTGTAATATATATACTAAATATTGTGAGCTCTCAACAACATACATATAAAGAAATGCTCGCGGAAGTATATATTTATACGTTTTACGCTAATATATATTTATATGTACATACTTCGAATAAATATACATATCCATTCAACGTTTATATCGGGATGGCCCGCCCTATGGTAGTCACTATAGGTGCGTATTAGAAGATCTTAGGTGCAACGTCTTCGACAATATTCACGAGATTGTCCTTTCCCTTTTTAGAAAAGGGTTTTATGGCCTTTTGACCCCGTACGAAACATATTCGAAATCAGCTCGTCCATCCAACGTTTATATTTTTTAGCTTTTGCTATTTTAGTTCATTCACTCTATAGTCTCGTACGAAAATAGTTGAATCCTGGGACAGTGAACGAATAGTAGTTCAACCAGCTGTAGGTTAACCATCCTATAACATAGATATCACATATTGTGCTACTAATAGAGCTATAAATAAGTATGGCATTGCCATCGTTAGCAACGCTACAAAAGGTGGCCATTGGCGGGTTTGTTATATCAGCGTCTACCTCTGCATATTTCTACATAAACATACAGGACAATATTCGCAAGAATGGTCATTACCCTGTGGTCGTACGAACAGTCTCGCAGGACAAAGCGTGTGAGCAATTACTGGGAAGTGGGTTAAGATTTGGAAATTTGTCACTTATTGATAAATATAATGTGGTGAATGCCCGGGAGGTCAAAGTTAAAATACCAGTTGTGGTATGTACTCATCATTCTCAATCCAATAATACATGGCTTCTGTTTTCTGCTGTGCTTGTTTGGATGCAAACATAGACAATTGTATATTTATACATGTGCAATTTTTTCCTTGGTCAACAACCTTCATTACA